TAATGTTCTTTCTACTACCTCTATTGAGAAAATATGTTTATGTGTCTGCATGATTCATTGCTTACTGTTCAGAGTGGTAGAATCCTTCCATCACTGAGCTGGGAAAGCATCACAAGAATTATACTTTTCTAGCAAGATCTATTGGGAATGTTGATCTTATATTTGTAGGCATAGAATGCCCACAACCAGCCCTGGCCAGTTTGGCTCAGTGGTAAGAGCCTCAGCCTGAGGACTGAAGGGTCCCAGGTTCAATTTCAGCCGAGGACACATACCTCAGCTGCAGGCTCAATCCCTGGCCCAGGTTGGGGCAAGTGTGGGAGGCAACCAATTGATGTTNGGCTCCAGCTCTTCTGTCACACAGGGTGGGGCAAAAATAGGTTTATATAGTTGTTTGTATGGAAAATAATACAATAATTAATAATAAACTGTGTTTCGTGTACTTACAACTGTAAACCTACTTCTGCCCCACCCCGCAAGTCTAAAGTAACTTAGAATCACTACCCAGCTTTATTCCTAAGTTATGGGTTTTTAAAAGGCGTTTAAGAAGTATCCTGCTCAGACCGAACGGCCTGGCGGTGCGGCCTGGTCCCAGGAAGGCAGCCTTAGAGGAGGGTGAGGGCTGGGCCGGGGCTGGGCGGGCGCTCTGCTCCGAGAAGTGCAACCTCTCCAGGCCGCTGTGGGCGGCTGTGCAGCTCGTGGTTCCCATTCACCTTCCAGTTCCAAACACAAGGAGAAGTTTAAAAATCTGTTTTCTTCAGCCCCGGCCGGTGTGGCTCAGCGGTCGGAGCACTGGCCCGAGAACTGAAGGGTCCCGGGCTTGATTCCAGGCAAGGGCACGAGCCTCGGCTGCTGGCTCGATCCCGGCCCCGGTCGAGGCCCGTGTGGGAGGCAGCCAGTCAACGCCCCCCCCACTCTCTCTGAAAAGCGATGGAAAAAATATCCTCAGGTGAGGATTAAAAAAAAAAAAAATCCACAACCAGCCTGTTCCACTATGTATTTATCCCTAAAGTGAAGGTATACTTTTTCCTTTATTGTTGTTAATAGCCATCCAGTAGGTGATTTCCAATGCCTCCAAATATTTTCCCAACTGGCCATGGCATCTGGAATTTCCCCATTAAGGGTAAAATTTTATCTTTCAGGTGTAGCTTTAAGAAAATCCTTCTTCTAGTGAACTTGGAAGGGACCAGGAATATTAACATATTCATACTCACAGTTAACCACTATTTACTCTTATCAGATTGACTAGTTGTCTGCTTAATGGCCCCCCTTGGAGGATATAAGCAAAATCCAGAGGAGAGCTGTAGTTTAAGGCAAAGGGTGAAATAATTCCAAAACCTGGGGAACTGGGAAGGGATGAGTAGTATGTCAGCTTCAGGAAGGGTAGGTAGTAAGGGGTGCAGGCAGATGAGAAAGCAGTGAAAAGGGTCGGAGAGCATAGCATGCTGGCAGTCAGTCAGCCAACTTATAATTATTTAGTCCTAGGACAATTCCTAAGAATGTCTTAGAAATCATTCTTGCTTTAAATGAAGTATTTCCCCCAGTTTTAGCACTCAGCAATGATTGAAAACAACTGAAAGGGCATGTTAAGCCATGCTAATATTTCTTTCTTTGTGTGTGTGTGTATAATTCATTTTCTGCATATTACCAATGCTACAACCATTAAGAACACAATTCCAAGTACTGTATGTACTTTTTAGTTGAAAGCAATCAGGCCACAGACTCATTTACTTTTATTAGACAAGATCAACCTTATTCAAAACTTATTGCAATTTATAAATTCACATAAATACATAAATTGATGCAATTAAACAAAAACTTCAGGATCTTATTTTTAAAATTTTTAGATTATGCCTTTCTCTGAAGGCTATAATCACCTGCCCCATGAACAGCAATAGTTATGGTTCAATTTAACTACATCAACTATCAGCCTTTTATCTATTTTTACTTTTTAAAAAAATCATTTATTATTTGTTACTTTTTAATTGATTTTTAGAGAGAGAGGGAGAGAGAGAAACATCTATGTGAGAAACATCGATAGGTTGCCTCCCATACTCTCCCCCCAGTGGGGCTCGAACCCAAAACCTCTTTGGTGTGTGGGACAAGGTCCCAACCAACTGATCCACCTGGCCAAGGCAAGTCATGTTCATATTTCTTAATCACCAAACATATCTAATTCATTAAATATTGAGTTCTTCTAATTTCACTAAGTATATAGTTGGTACTTGGTAGATATTTGTGGAATGAGTGGATCCTTCTGTGATTCTATTTTTTATTTTTTTTTACTTTGGAAGTGACTCAGTATTGGATGCATTAAGATTATGATACTTGATGTAGTCTTGGAAAATCATAGCAAAGTCTTTAACAGTGCTGATCATAATGAAAATGTTCTTTAATCGGCCCTGAACAACATGGTGGTCACTGGCTTGAATACTTAACAAGTAGCTAGTAAGACTAAAGAACTGAAGTTTAATTTAATTTGATAGCCACTTGTGGCTATGGTATCGGACCTGGCAGGCCTATCGGTTTCATTAAAAGTGTTCTGCCTCTCTCACTTTATTCTTGAAAGCAGTGATTTTGATTAATTCCATCAATTATTACATATAAGTTCCTCTCATGCGTATTTTTCTTTTTAATAGAAATAATTAGATTTAGCTTTGATAACTCTAAAGATTAGTATAGCAAATCCAACTGACTTGCACAGCAGTGTCTGAGGGGGATTTACTTGTGTCATTTATACAACTTGTAAAACACCGTCAATTTCTAATTTCAACTATTGACATAAAAGGAGCGAGGCTGTGTGGTTACAGCAGCGAAGCAGTCTGTCCTCTAGCCAACAGGCTGGCCTTCAAGCCAGTCTTTCTTCTGACGGCCTCCTTCCTTCCCTAGTACCAGGTACCTGGGGGCAGCCCCCTGGCCCTGCGGCAGTGGGGGGCGTCTAAGTTCCTTTTCCATAGCTCTCCAGGCCCCTAGCCTCCCCTTGCTCTCTCGCCTTCCAAACCCAATAGTACCTTGAATTATCTGTGACAACCTCCCTTCAACTCATCCTAATTTCATAGATGAGAAAACGGAGGCATCACAAAGAGCGAGGGTGGGTAAGAAAACGAATATTAACTACCACATGCTTGCTGGACACTTTATAGGATGCTCTGTAACAGTGCTGACTGCATGAATGAACGCTATCCCCCAGGCAAATAAGTGGCTTTTGATACCTGTTTTTTGAATGGACAATAATGAATATTATCCCCTGGGCGAACAAGTGGCATTCAATACCTATTTTCTGAATAGACAAATACAGGAATACATTTTTACTACCTATGGAGGGGACATTATTCCTTTACCACAGGTGAGGAAACTCACATTTAGATGAGTTATATGACTTCCTCAAGCACATACAATACTCCAGTATTTAATCTTTTATTCTCCTGTTTAATTTCTTGTCTCGTTTGCCGTGTTCTCCGGGTTTTGCTCTTTGCCTCTCAAAGGCAGGGATCAACTAAAGTGACCCCTAGATTTACACCACCGGCTGCACGTGCG